CCTCAGAGCCTGCGGTATGATCTCTGCACGTTACGTCAATGATACCGTGACTCCAAGTATGATCTGTGCACGTTGCGTCAATCACACCCAGTTGAAAATGCGCAAATTGCGCCAAACCAATGGTATGTATAGCACTCAGAATGCAATACCGATGGCTTTCAACCAAGTTTTCTCTGTCAGACTTAACTGCCGGTCAATGATTGCCTGCGCCGCATTCGCCACAGTACAACTTTCGTGAGTAGCTAAAATAGCCAACTTCTCTTTGGCTGCCTTGCAGCGGCCAACACGGCAAAACATGCGCAAAGGCCATTGTCGACAGGCATATGGATGCGATACCTGTGTTTCATAACAAGACATCAAAGGGTCAACCCCCTCCTGCAACAGCGACAGCAATTTGCCATCGAAATGGTCATGACAACTTTGGCCCAATGCTGCCTGCCATAGCTCGACTTGTGCCACTGCGCTGCGACTGCATCTGTGACCGATGATATCGCTGCCGTTACAGAGATCTGAAAAGATTTTGCCATCTTCTGTCTCTTCACTCATTTCAGTACTCAGTTGCACAACGATGAGATTTTCCTGATCCTCCAAAAATTGTAAAATTCTTTCATATCTTTCGTCCAAATCTTCATCTAAAGGTTCTTTCTGTCCCAGCAACATGCGTTGCAAGATGACATACATCCGAAGGCTCCATCGACGAAACCTTGTAGGAGGCAATTCCATGGAGTTGCCTGCGTCATCAACCACTTCCATTTCCAAAGGTGGAATGAAAACTGACGCATCGGTTCTCTCTATGATCTGTTTGACTCCAGCGATGTCGCCAAGCAAAGCGGCTTGCCACAATTCCTGATCATGATCTGACAGAAAGAACTTTTCCCAGAATTGATCCACAACTCCAACGGCGGGTTCCTTTGGATCAAAGGCATTCAAGCGGGGACGCAACGTCGGCTTCATTGCCGGCGACTGCGACGGTACTGGCGGCCGACCAGGAGGCGGGGGAGGAGGACCATGATACCTTACATACCTCACACCTTTGGCTCCTTCCCAGGCGCCGGCGGTGTTCGCCATCAGCGATGGTTCCCTAGAACGAGTTGGGACTACCTATATTTCTCTTGTCTCTGAACACTGCAGTGGCACTAGATCCATATCACTTCCAACACGGATATGTGCTTCAATGCAAAACTGGAAAACAAGTGCTGTCCTCTCATTCCTTTTTGTCAGCTGGCGTTGTGCTGTACTCTTACAAAGCTTGCTGTATGATCATTGCACGTTGCATCAATCATACCAAGCGGTGCGCTGTCTCAGCGCTTGCGGTATGATCTGTGCACGTTGCGTCAATCATACCGTGGCTCCAAGTATGATCCATGCACATTGCGTCAATCACACCCAGAACCGGCATGGACACCGGTTAAACATTTCAATGCGTTCAAAAAGTCCAATCGACGCAAAGCAAGGCCGCCAAGGTTTTTTGTTCAGCCACGTACCAGAAATGACGCCCACTGTAGGCACGAGCAACCAGCCACTTTTCTTTCTGCTCCACTAACGTCAACGAACACACAGTGTCCTTGTTGTGCCATTTCTTCAATGCATACAAAAATTCAGCTAAACGCCATCTTTGACAGACAGCGGGCACAATCAAACCAACAGCTTCAGCATTGATAAAGACATCATAGATCCACCACTCCGGCAACTCAAAATACGCCTTGAACTTCTCACAATTGTTCTCCGTTGCGCAAATCACACTGCGAAATCCAGCTGTCCACCAGTCGAGCCGTTCTTTCGCGATATCTTCATCCTGCTCGAGACGCAGCTCTCCAACTGCAAGCCTATTCCAGAGTTGCTTGTCTGCATCAGCATCTGGCAGAGCTGCCATGTACCGGACAATGCACTCCACAGCATGGCGCTCCTGCATCAGCAATTCAATACCAGCAGCGGCTATGTTTCTTTGCGTCGGACCATTTTTCTCTTTAGCCACCAATTCAGCAAGCCACACATAATGCAGCAATTCCCAGTAAAATAATCTCTCCGGAACTTCGTGTGCTGCCTTCAACCAAGGCACAGGGGAACGATCAATATATAGCTGATAACACAACTTGTCGACCTTGCCGCTGACCGCAGCCGTCCACAGTTCGCAGCCGCAGGCATCTGAGAGATAACTTTCTAACTGCACCATGTCAGGCTTGGTCGCACCCAGCCACACTCCTCCGACAGCTTCAACGTCCATTACCTCCGACTCGTGCTGACTTCCGGAATCATGAACACGTATCCGTTTGCGCCACAACTCTGCTTCCAGAATAGGAAGCACATCAGTTGCGCTGCCATACTGTGCCCAAGACAACACCGTGTAAGCGCCGGACTCAGAAGGCTGTTCAATGTCTACACCTTGATCGATCCAGTGTCGAACACAATCCACGCAATTGCCATAAGCTGCGTACATGCACAAATACAAGGACTTTTTCTCATTCTCCATTGTTTTCAATCGCTTTGCCCCTCGTGTTGCACTAGCATGCGCCATAGGATTGCTCATGGCTGGAACGCACTGTCTCGCAACATTGGCTGGAGCAAGGGACATGGCGCAATCTATTGATCACCGCTTCTTCGCACAGTGCCTCAAAGCAGCGCCAATAATCTTGTATGTCAGTAAAGGTGTAGCAATCGATCACTACTTGTTTGCACACTATGTCCAAGTAGCGCACGGAACCGTGTGTGGAAGCATTTCGTCAGCAATCACAACAATATGCAAATGCCACTTTACATTGATTGCCTACGCTCGGAATACAGTAAACAACATCACTTCTAGACAAACTTGGACAACTCTGCACGGCCGACGCTACTGCGCAGTCCTTGCCGGTCAAGAAATTTATCTCAGAGCACCAAATGATTCTTCACACATTGTGGCAAACCATTTGTTGTGCCATACCCAGAAACACACAGCCAGTTTGGTTAGTGCGTCAAACGATTCTTCGCACATCGCATCAAATCATTTGACGCCAAGTACTGAAATACATAAACGACAACATGTCAACCATGCAGCGATAAATCTCTCACCTTCAAGGTTCTTCGGTGACAGTCATCATGATGTCACCGTTCTCGTCTCGGGTGACACCACGATGCAACGGGCCACTGTACCGAATCCAACCACTGTTATCGAGTGCTCGCAGCACCTGGTCTCCCTTCAGACGGCGCCAGCCTCCCGCTGTGAACTCAATGCGGAACAACACGCCCAGTGGCCTCATTATAACGACGCAGACAATGCACTGAGACTTTGCTTCGGTGTCGAAAAGGCAACAATGACCATAACGTACTTACAAGGCCCCGTGCCTGAGTCCGTCATCGTAGTAGCCATATCGCTCGCGTGCGTCAGCCACCGATCCTCGCAATGAGAAATGCTCACCTGCCGCTGGCTGTAGATGGCGGCCAAATCGACCACCCATCGGCACGTCACGGGCCTACCAACAACAGGCCAAATTATGAAGACTCGAAACAAGCTATTGTATGTTAAGTTTCTGTGTGTGAAGTTATTGTATTGTGTGTGTGTGTAACGTTATTGTGCCACTGATGGTGAAAGATCGAGAAAGTAACATGGTAGGTATGTATGTATGTATGTATGTATGTATGTATGTATGTATGTATGTATGTATGTATGCATGACAAACGCAACTGCAGTGTACGCATGGGATCACAGCCTCTGGCAGAAGGACCAAAAAGCATTGCGTCGTAGCTGGCGTGTAGGTAGCTGCTGCCATGCCCACGAAACTATTGTCTGATCACAAAACGAAACGAACACAGGAGAGCCAACAAATGCGGCTGGCATCAAAAACATGCAACAAACAAGAAATAGCAGTAACTGTTCATGCGGCTGGCATCTGCATACACTTCTTCCCACGTTGGGTCAAAGTTCTTGGCACCAAAGACATGCACTCATTGTCGCGCCGTGCGACACACGTCTGTCCTCCGTCCACGATGATGACCGAATAGGCACCTGCACATGCAGCAGACACAAAGAAGCTTCATACATGCCATCTTCTTACAGCCTAAACATGGTCAACAAGTCTTTCCTGCATAATTCAATTCAAGCAGAAATACTGTATATCAAGTATGTGATGGTGACACCTCCAAAGATCGGTGCAGTTTTCTAAAGTCATGAAGATTTTGAACTTGTGGATTCAGCACAGCGCAATGCAAAACTCATTGGACAGCTGCGGTAAGTCTGAAGTGACAACGTTGTGCGCCACATAAGGCAGCATCTTCTGCTGACCACCTGGCAGATGTCTATCGCCGTGCCAATTTAGCCTACAACGCTCCTGTTCCTCTTGGCTTGTCAACTACTGCCCCACGACACCGGTGCAGACAAGCGCATGAGAAACAAACACAGCTGCACCTTTCGAAGTTTTGCCGCTATGATTCATCGGATAACACATTTGCTTCTCGCATCAACTATTGCACAGTGCTTCAATGTGGCCACAGGAGCTGTGGAAACTACCTTGCCTCAATCCATCGGATGACACACTTCCTTCTCGAACAACTGTCGCAGTGTTATAAACTCTCTTCAAGAGGAGAGGCATCATCTTTGCACGGTGCATCAATGTGCCCACACAAGCTGTTAACACAAACTTCACTATCGCAGGCATCATCTTCGCACATTGCATCAATGCGCCCACGACAGCTGTTGACAGTGTACCATCCCATGACATGAAGCTCTCGCGACATCTGCCTTCCTGGCATCATAAGGCAGTAGAGCAAAATACAAATAATGGTAGCTACCTCGCCTCAATTCATCGGATGACACACTTCCTTCTCGTAACAACTGTCGCACTCTGATAAACTCTCTTCAGCAGGCATCATCTTCGCACAGCGCATCAATGTGCCGACACAAGCTATTAGTATAAACTTCGCTACCGCAGGCATCATCTTCGCACATTGCATCAATGCGCCCACGACAGCTGTTGACAGTGTGCCATCCCATGACAGGAAGCTGAAAGGAAGCTAACGACCAGAAGCTATGGTTCAGTGCGACGTTGGCACTTAGAAAATGTCCCTTGTCGACATTCTTCTGCTCGCTTCTGAAATGCGGCAACTTTCTCAGCGATCGCTGCTGGTGGCCCACGTTCGAGAACATCCCGTGGCGGTGGACGTAGCAATAATAAATCACCCAAAGCCGTCACGCGGCTGAACATGACGTAAAGATGGAGCCACCAATTGTCGTCGTCCATCTCTGGCAAACGCGCACAATCAACCACTGTGCCTTTCCGCAAAGTCAAACCCTGCGACCCTGTGCTTGTAAAGAAGTTTGCGTGCGTCATCCTGAATCCACAGCGGCGCACCTGGTAATTCTGCGTGCTGGAGAATTTCACGACAATTTCTTCCGCAGGCAAAAACCAAAAGCTGCGAGCCAACTTTTCGGCCGTTGCATCATCTGGGACATGTTGCCGGCATAAGTCCATCAAATTCATCCAGTCAGAACATCCCTGGAAACCATCAATGGACAGCCAAATGCCTGACGGCAAATACCGTGGCGAAAACAGATCTCCACCAGCGCAGTGCGAATAGCGTCGGCGATCTTGGCTGTGAAACTCAAAATCCATGATGGTGCCAACGGTGTCTTGAATCATTCCTTTGTCAGCAGCCAACTTCGCGATAAGTCGCACCTGCATGCCGACATGACAGGGAAAGATTCCATGCATATGACCAGTGCGGTAGGGATTCGGACGGTTCAAGAAGCGGAAAGCAGTCTCCTTGTCCAGGTCACTGCACACATCAGCTGCCTGAAGCAAAACTAATGGATGTGCCAGGCGGACAGCATCCATAAGCGCTCTGCGGCACATCATGCGACCCAGAGAGGCCCAGTAAATCGACATGCCGTATCCTTCGCGAAACTTGGCTTCGTCGAACCGTGCATCTTGCACACCAGGAGAAACATCTACCGCAAACCTTTCCTGCAACCTTGCCCACAACGAATCGGGAAAGCGTTTGCCAGACCGCATGTGCTGCAAAATGTCAATCAAAGGGTCACCAGGTTTGAATCGCATTGTGCCACGGAGCTCGAAAACATCTGGAATCGAGCCAAAAAGTTGCTGTGCGTGCTGCACCTCTGCTGGCACGTCCTGATAGACATAATTCCCATCGTCGTCCTTCGCTTCCAAGTCGTCCAGCAACGACAACTGCGCAGTCGGACGAAGCTGAAAGAAATCACCAAGGTGCAGAACAATCGGCACCCGACCAAAAGCACAACCAGTTTTTGTGTAGGTGTGTCGGTCCACTTTGAAAACGACACGACGACCCAGCATCGCTCGATAGTCCAACATGTTGTACAACAAAGCAGATACCATGCTGATCTCCTCCACGACCAACACGCGAACCGAGCCCCAGAGTTTTTGTAGCGCGTTTTCCTTGGAGCCGGCCGCCATGTTGCTGTTGGTCAGGGACTGGACACCGAGCAGCGCGGCTCCGTGTAATGTCCTTGCCCGCACCTGCTCTGTGGAGATGTTTTTGGCCTGCGCATTCTTGGCGGCCACAACCATCAGGGTCTCTGCCTCATTGTCTGCTGGCCAAATGAAATGGACAACTGGAAAAATGATATTCTGCACGATGTGCGTCTTGCCAGAGCCGCCTTGACCCAGAAGGAGCATGTGGTAGACATGTCGCTTGTCGGGCGGCTGCTCCGCGACTTCTTGCTCGTAGACAACGTCGAGCACCTCGGCAAAGCGCATCATGAAAATTTCCTGGTCCTCGTTCAAGCGCCTGTTGGCGGGTAATGCTTGAATCATAGCTTTCACTAAGTCAGAAGGCTTGCTGTAAACCCGTTGCTGGCTGAAGCGAACACAATCAGCAGGCAGTCGAGGTAAACATTTCTTCAAAAAGACGTGGCGGTCGTCCTCGCCCGTGTCCATGGGCGCTGCTTCCTCTTCTGCGACTGCTCCGGTACGTGGTCCATCCAAGACGTCTGCTCTTCGGTCCTGATCAGCAATGTTCTGACGGCCACCAACGCATAATTTCAATCACAGATTTCAAACGACACAGAAACATTAAACAAAAGTTCTTTGTGAACACAAACCAAGCAGCTGGTGACAAGCTGTTCAATGCATGAAACACGGCATGCAGGTCGTGTTTGCTGCAGCTCTTCCACTTAGCAGCCGCTTCGAACAAATCATTCTTGATCCACGCCTCCTCCAGAAAATCTTTTGTGTACTGATTGTGTCGCCCTTGGCATTCGAACAGCAACAGTTTCTTCTGCTCTTCTGCGTTCGCTTGGAACACGATGGGTTGAAAGACTTCCGATGGCTTTGTCGCAACACTAACTTCCATCTCTTCCTCTGGATTGTCAGCAGCCTCATCGTCGTCCTTCTCTCCAGCCGTGGTGATCTTCACGTACTCTTCATAGAGCCGCGCATCCGTGTCGCGGCGCCGCTTCGGTTTCTGTTGCCTGGCTCGCGCCAATCCCTCCAGATGCGCAATACGACTTTCGGCCAACATAGAAGAATATTGTGCTGCAGTGCACCGTGGCTTCAACCGATCAGGGTCTGTGTCTGGAGTTGTCACTGTGGTGCCTGTCGCCAAACTCAACTTCTCTTCCAGCAAAGCAACCATTTCAGCTGTCTCCCATAAAGACGGATATTGTTGACGGGCAGCAAAGCGGTATCTGGCGATCGTTGCTTCTCGTTTCATGTCATCCTGCCATTCAAGCAATGATCTAGTGAACGCAACTGCAGCCGTTTCCGACATATCCTCTCCAGGGACGCGTTTTTTTGGTGTGGAATACTGCTTGAAAGCTTCCAACACCAATGTCTCTGCATCCTGCTCGACGTTCTCGTCGGCAAAGATTGCAGTAGGACGACATTGCACCTGTTTGTACATAGCGTTGCGCTCAGAGTCCAAAGTCAACGGAGGCATTGTGAAGCCTTCAAACATAGGAACACGAGGCTCTGTGCTGATGCGTTGAGCATGAGTCTGGTACAACTTGTATGCCGGATCGAAGTACACATCAACGTAACGAGGTATGGCTGCTCGAACCGACCGCTCTGCGCGCGGCGGCAGCTCAATGCGATAGACCCACATACCGTACGTTGACCAACTCAATCCTGCGATGACGAAAACACACAGTGTAACATGTTCCTACTCCGAAACTTCGGTGCAAACTCAAACAAAGAACTACTAGTACAAAAAGAACAAGAAAAGACCCATCTGGCCTGCAAGCAAAGGATGTGACCCACGAAACAGATAATCCTCCAGACTGCTTGTAGTCACTGCCAACGGCCTCGACGACTTCAACAAAGATGATCCCTCAAGAACAGCAACATCTTCTCCAGTAGCTTGCAAAGCTCTCAAGTTGGTGGCCTCACCCGATTCAGTGTCGTCTCGTGCCACGGTTTCTGTCACCTGGTGAATCTTTAACAGTTCTTCTGTGAATGTCAATTTTTGTTGGGCCTTTTTCCCTGGACCACCTCTGTCCAAATCAACCGATGAATCGTACACAGCAAATGCTTCGTCCAAATCAGCACAATTTTGCCCATGAGGACCAACATAAACATAGACACTCTCACCAGTTTCTTGGTCTACGCGTGCAACCTTCTTCCAACCAACCAAGGTTACTGGATCAAGGCCATCGCGACGAAACACCACTGGATCAGAAGCAACATCCAGATTCTCCTTCGGTCGCAAAACACTCTCGCCATACTGCTGCCTCCAAGCTTCCACAGCGAAAAAAATTGCCTTTTTCACATATAGCTTCCAGGTGCGATGCGACGCAAAGGTCATGTGCTGAAACAACAAAGGGAAGATGAGTTCACTGGCACTTTTCCAATGACATCGACGATAGGAAGACGACAGGCGAGACAATGTCTTCAATGTTTCGGCAAAAAGCACACCACGTCTGCCTGCAACATGCTCGCCAGCCGCGCGCGCAGCTTCTGCCTGCTTCTCACGGTCTTGTTCGCGCTCCTGCCGTTCATTCTCCAATCGCTCAATGCCTGCGCAACAAGAAGACGTGTTCGGACATGCATATGTCACCACACACACACACATATATATATGGAGGATGCGTGGCAGACGTCTTCTCACATTGAGTTAACGTTGCAACGTGGCCCGCACTACAACATCACCAGCAACAAGAAGACGTCTTCTCACATTGAGTCAACGTTCCCACCTAAAGACAACAACAGCAACAACAACAACAACAAAAACAGCAACAGCAACAGCAACATCGAACTAAAAAAACAAAACATCTTCTCTATGAATGCATACAGGGAAAACAGAAAGTTCCAAAACAATATACAACTTTCTGCAGTCCTTTTTGGAGCTCTTCCAACATACCAGCTAAACCAGGTCCAGGCTTGGTGGTATAGCTGTTGATGTAGAAGCCGCTGTTGATGCCATCACAGAATGCTTCACTGATGCCGCAGCGGATGGCTCGTGTGAGTTCAGCGGTGGCATCGTCTGTGTCTTCCGCGTTTGCCATGCGCACATCTTGTTCTTGCTCTTCTGCTGGCGGCATTGGCGCGTCCTCATCTTGTGCGTCGCTGGTGACAGGCTCGCCTTCTTTCTCCATGAATTGTTGATGAGCCGTCAGCCAAGCAGATCGAAAGTCTGGCGCCCAATCTCTGCGACTTAACCATGACACTGCAGTAGTCGGCGCGTCAGAACGAACCTCATAAGCTTTGCCATTCCATTCATACCAAGCCATGTAACCCAAGGAATCAGTGAAGCCAACATGGGGCAAATGCTCGTCGGAATCTAACCACAGTGCAGGATCAAGCACACGCCTCATATCTTGCAAATCCAAGTTGTGACGACCGGCGACCAAGCCGCCATAACAAGTCTGACACTCGAAAGGCGTCAGCTGAATAGGGCGCATGCGACCTTGCATGCCGTAATCAGCTTCTGCTTCTGATCCAATGTGAATGCTTGGACGCAATGCCTTGCCCTTGCGTCGCACACGACAACCTTCGAAGACATTCACCACGTGGTAGAAGCCATGCCTGCAGATCTTGAAGCGCACGGAGCTCGCATCAGAATATTTGTAGCACGATTCGCTGCAGGCATGCCGTAGCAGCGTCGGCATCAGACTATGCAAGTCCTGAACAGCATTACGCACTCGAGCAACAAATCTCAACACATGCCATTCTTAACAAAACCATTATATGGCACGACTCTAATCAAATCTTTTCCATCGATGCCCTGCCTCTGCAAATGCGAGCTGCCACGCTGCGGCGTCAATGTCCGCAGTATCGGCTGCGCAGAGTACACTGCGCAGCCGATACTGCGGTGTTTGCGCCACCGCCAAGTTGTTGATTGGCTGACTGAAAATCCGCCCACACCGCTTTGGCGGTGAAGGCGTGCTTATTGGGGGGCAAAACAGCAACACTAAATGCTCAATGACATTTGTTAATATAGCAGTCGCTATATCAGCTTTAGCTGGGGGGGGGGGCCCAAAAACGGTTTCGCACCGAGACCAGACCCCAAAAACGGTTTCGCACCGAGACCAGAATACGGTGGTGTTTTCGACATTTTTCGAGGATTTTTGGGTGTCTGAGCGCAAGAGGGTATTGAAATGGAATTTTGGGTCATTTTGGTAGCTTTCCGGCAATGGAAAAACGGCCAAAAATGAAAAAAACATTGTACATAGCAAGATTTTGCAGGGTTTTTGGATGCCAGAGCATTGAAAACACTGCAAAAACAAGTGTTTTGGACTGACGTTATAGCAAAAAACGTGTAAATTACCGTATGCTTGACTGGAAACATTCCCAAAAACACTGTCAAAAGCAATGTTTTGGAAGGATTTACTGCCTTTATGGCAAAAAACGTGTAAATTACCGTCTGTTTGACTGGAAACATTGGAAAAACACTGTCAAAAACAATGTTTTGGAAAGATTTCTTATATATATGTTGGAGTTGGCTACCGGCATTGGAACATGGAAAAATTGAAGAAAACACTGTAAATAGCGGTATTTTCAACGGTTGGGGAGATAAGGGAATTGGAAGCATTGTCGAACATGATGTTTTCGACCGGTTTTATGGCGACAAAAGTGTAAAGTACCGTGCTTTGAAGGAAACCATTGCAAAAACATGGAAACACATTCAAAGAACACGGGATTTGGGGGACTATCTAGGCGTCGTTGTCTAGCTATTTGAAATTCCGCAGCTTGGAGAGCCTCCAAGGGAGGGAAAAGTGAAAATTCCATAGCTTGGGAAGCTGTCACGGCGGGGAAAAGTGAAAATTCCCTAGCTTGGGAAGCCCCCACGGGGGGGAAAAGTGAAAATTCCCTAGCTTGGGGAGCCCCCACGGGGGGGAAAAGTGAAAATTCCCTAGCTTGGGGAGCCCCCACGGGGGGGAAAAGTGAAAATTCCCTAGCTTGGGGAGGCCCCACGGGGGGGAAAAGTGAAAATTCCCTAGCTTGGGGAGCCCCCACGGGGGGGAAAAGTGAAAAATCCCTAGCTTGGGGAGCCCCCACGGGGGGGGAAAGTGCAAATTCTTAGCTTGGGGAGCCCCCACGGGGGAAAACCACCCTTAGCCCCTCACGGACCGAAATAAACCTGCGGTGTGGGCGGCCACCCCACGCGAAGCGGGGTGAATATTGGGCAACAAACCTGAGCCATCATCCACCGGCACCAGCGGCCGTCTCCAGTCAGCTTCTGCAGCGGACTCCAAATACTGCTGCTGTTCGGTTGTCAGCTCCGGCATTTCTCGCAGCAAGATCAAATCACTGCCGCCGTCGTACTTCGACAAGTTGCGGGCCACTTGACTGATGCCAACGCTCTTCGACATGGAGTTGCCGTCGAAGAGGCGTGGTGCCGCTTGCACGGAGGCTTGCGACAAAGACTCGAAACTGGCAACTACCATTTGCATAAAATGCTTCAAACGTAGTTGGAGTTCCACTTTGTTGTGCTTCAAAAGATCTGCGAGCTGTCCCATAACATCCAAATGACCGCATAGTAACCAGACCAGAACATGCGGATGCAAGGAGCCGCGCCCTTGGGCTTCGATTTCGCCGCGGAAAGCGGCGACCGGGCCCAACATGCCGGCGCCCGTGGATGCAGCGGCCGCCCCATCGCTGCACCACTCTCGCGCAAACGCGCGCACACCGCCGCGACGACAATCCAACGTCTCGGGGCGAAAGTTCAGCACGTGCTGCAGGAACAAACGCATCAGAAACTCGAATTGCAGAGTCTGGGCGACCGGATCTTGGGCAAGGCGCCGCATCATATCCCGGTACTTCGGCAGCGTCTCTGGCATGTCAGCTGCCACTCCGCCCAGATCCACTGTTTCTCCTTGAATGACCAAGAGCAAAGGATGCTGAGTGTCTGCAATATTCGGCGTCAAGAAAACCAACGGAGGACCAAACATCTCCATGTAAGCCCACCCTTCGTGGCGACAATGTCTACGATGTCCATCTGTGCCGACAACATTGGCGGACGCAGCCTGCATCGCCTCGAAGCAAGCTTTGACCTTCCGAGGCACAGCATCATTCTTCAGCACTTGCTGCAGAGAGTCACCCCACGTTGGTTCAACCACTCTGGCAGCAAGTGCTAAATCTGATGCTCGCAACTCTTGCAGGTTCTTCGCGAAAGCCATACCACCATTTTTCAAAAAGTTGTACGAAGCATTGCGTTGATCGGTCAGACGACAAATGGTTGACATCATGTGCAAAGCCACCCAATCTCCTGTAAATCGATTCTTGACAGGGGCCGTGTATGGAGTCTCATCACTGTCCAGAGAATACACCATCTCCTGATTTGCTGAAACTAACATGCAAACGGAAACAGAAAATTGACTTTATCATCACCCGCAAACCCCAAACAATCACAAACAAACAATTCAACAGCCCACGTCCTCACGCCGTAGCATACACGCCGTCCATTCTGCAGTCGACAGAGGTTCTTCGCGGTCAAACAGATTCGAAGCGTCACCATACCGCCAGAGCCGAGGTTTGGCCATGCTCCAAATCTTCCAATCGAAGAGACTAAGTGGCTTCTTGTCACGAGCAACCATGAGGTGTTGCGCTTCGTATGTCTGTGACTGCTCTTCTGGTGCATTTTCTTCAGGTAATAGCCAAGGGGATTTGCCCATCACAGCATCACGAAGCTCCACCTCCAATTTGCGACGCATGTCTTGAGTGGACAACTTGCGGCAGGTCTCTTGAATCTCATCACAAAGTTTCTGAATTCTTCTGCGGCCTAAATGATCCAGCAACACCGCATCATCTTCCATCAACGACGCCATCTCAACGGCAACAGAACGGGCACCAGCCGCTTCCAACTCTTCCAGTTTCTGCAACATGATTGCGACACGACTGGACACATCAGTCTCGTCGTCATTGAAGTCCTTCACTTCCGGCTCCGTCGCAAAGACAACTTCATCTTGACTGCACGAGACGTGACCGTCAGTGGCCTGGGCGGGCCCTTCTTGCCGCATGGTGCCCGGCCCATCGCGACCAACTGGCACGGTCAAAACACAATCCAGAACAACCGGCGGAACAACATCATCTTCGCCACCAAGCCATGCAGTCAAGCGTTCGCTGTCGATCTGCGTCACTCCTCCAGCATACACCACATTTGTGTCCTGTAGAACTTGAGCTTGCTGGAGAAAACGATCTTTCCGCAAACGGAGCTGCACGATCTTCCGGATTGCTTCACGGCCATGATCAACATCATCTTCGACAGGCAGATCGGTGCAGAACGTAATGGCCAATGCGTCGTTGAGCTTCTCAGGAGGCAGAGACTGAAGAGCGTGCTTGGCGTCGCCATTGTGGAAGAGCACCGAGGAACCCACGTAACCAGTCTGCTGGTAAACGTGGTCCCATTGCCGCTCGGTGGTCGCCTGCGCCGTTTGCGCACCACCAGCTCGAAGCACCACTTTTGTGGCAACGGTGCGGGCAAGAGCTAAACACATCTCGTGGGTCATGTTGGCATCCCACAGCAATGGATCGATGCGTCCCAGCCAGAGATCGTTCGCGAGAGCAAACTTGCAGAGGCGCGGCTTCTTCGGAGCGAATGCTTGATGGCAATCGCTGCACACATGGACGGGTTCCTGGCCGCGTGCCGCAGCTGCGGACACTTGCCGTTTGTGTAGCAGAACCAACTGCGAGGAACCGTCAGGGCAGCAAACTTGGACGCCGGACGCTTGCAGCTCTGTCAGAGGGATCTTCGGCCAGCGTTGGTGGTATCGATCCACAGACAACAGCGTCCAAACGGCAGGTGAGTTCTGCATGAAGCATTGCTCACCTGCGAGCTGCACGGGCCACATCTCCTCCGACCAAAACCATCGGGCGCAAAATGCGCACCCGCGCCCGCCGCGGAGGTCGGTCAGATGTGGCCCTTCCCAATCCATGCTGGCATGCCGAAGAAAAGTGCTGTAGTTGCTGACATAGTACCGCACTTCACTGCCAACTACGACATGCGGGCACAACGATTGCAAGCATAGCATAGCATTCCGATATTTCTGCAAACCACCATGCTCTTTGACAATGTGCTCCAGTAGACTCGCGCGATCATCAAAGCCAGCATCGCACAAATGACAGGGTTGACGAGGCATGACCAGTGCCTCCATCGGCCAGAACCGCAACGCTTCAGTCTCCCGCGTGCGGTGCAGGGCATGATTCTCTTTGAATCTGAGGAACGGATTGTCCTCGTCAGCCCACTTGTCATCTCGCGAACCAGTCATATTGGAAGATCCATTGCCACCAAAAGCTTTGGACTGCCTTGCACGGCTCTCTCGGGCACGACCTGCGCGGTCGTCCTTCTCCTTGGCGCCTGCGCGAGCAACACAGATTTCAGTCATACTGATGTGACTCAGAAAGAAACTGTTGCGCGGATCTGCAACACTAATTTCACATCTTGTGATCAAAATCTTGTGACGAGGTTTGTACCATCTCTTCCCACTTATCGTCGCGACAACAGTCTTCCCACATTGAGTCAACCATGAGTCGGACAGTCTTATAACGTGATCACATCAATGACAATCATCATGACTCTTTCCGCATAAGTAACTCAAACAAACCGAAGGAAAAAGTCCCAACACTTCTGTTGAGCCTGCGCGCTGTTGCTTCCGGCCTGCGCATGCGAATCAATCGCAAGACACTTGCTTTGGGAACCTGAACCACGATAGAGCCAGAAACTATTCCCATCAAAATTATCAGCTGATCATGTCAATGAAACCTATCTTTATCACAATCGAAATCAATCTTACTCATTTTACCCAGAATTGAAACGTAATCATGTCAATGACACTCATCATCACTCTTTCCGCATTGTGGTTAGGTAGACTTTCATGACATGAGTACCATGAAATTCACGGAAGAAAAGTTCCAACACTTCTGTTCAGCCTGCGCGCTGTTCCTTCCGGCCTGCACATGCGAATCAATCGCAAGATTCTTGCTATGGGAACCTGTACTACGATAGAACCACAAGCTATTCCCTTCAAAATTCTCAGATGATCATGTGAATGAAACCTATCTTTATCACAATCGAAATCAATCTTGCTCATTTTACCCAGAATTGAAACGTAATCATGTCAATGACACTCATCATCACTCTTTCCGCATTCTGGTTAGGGAGACTTTCATGACATGAGTACCATGAAATTCACGGAAGAAAAGTCCCAACACTTCTGTTGAGCCTGCGCGCTGTTGCTTCCGGCCTGCGCCCTGTTGCTTCCGGCCTGCACATGCAAATCAATCGCAAGACACTTGCTATGGGAACCTGAACTACAATAGAACCACAAGCTATTCCCATCAAAATTATCAGCTGATCATGTCAATGAAACCTATCTTTATCACAATCGAAATCAATCTTACTCATTTTACTCCGAATTGAAACATAATCATGTCAATTACACTCATCATCACTCTTTCCGCATTCTGATATATATAAACTTTCATGACATGAGTACCATGAAATTCACGGAGGAAAAGTCCCAACACTTCTGTTGAGCCTGCGCGCTGTTCCTTCCGGCCTGCACATGCGAATCAATCGCAAGACACTTGCTATGGGAACCTGTACTACGATAGAACCACAAACTATTCCCTTCAAAATTCTCGGATGATCATGTCAATGAAACCTATCTTTATCACAATCGAAATCAATCTTACTCATTTTACCCAGAATTGAAACGTAATCATGTCAATGACACTCATCATCACTCTTTCCGCATAAGTAACTCAAACAAACGGAAGGAAAAAGTCCCAACACTTCTGTGGAGCCTGCGCGCTGTTGCTTCCGGCCTGCGCATGCGAATCAATCGCAAGACACTTGCTTTGGGAACCTGAACTACAATAGAACCACAAGCTATTCCCATCAAAATTATCAGCTGATCATGTCAATGAAACCTATCTTTATCACAATCGAAATCAATCTTGCTCATTTTACCCAGAATTGAAACGTAATCATGTCAATGACACTCATCATCACTCTTTCCGCATTCTGGTTAGGGAGACTTTCATGACATGAGCACCATGAAATTCACGGAAGAAAAGTTCCAACACTTCTGTTGAGCTTGCGCGCTGTTGCTTCCGGCCTGCGCGCTGTTGCTTCCGGCCTGCACATGCAAATCAATCGCAAGACACTTGCAATGCGAACCTGAACTACGATAGAGCCACAAGCTATTCCCATCAAAATTATCTGATGATCAGATCAATGAAACCCATCGTTGGCAAATTTGCGGTCTGAGTCGATTGGATGCAATTAGCAATAGAACGCTCCCACCCGAGCTGACCTGCACGAGCGCGACTGGCTTCTCGACGCTTGCGCTGCAGCGCCGCCGCAAAGCGCCCAAGGTGCGAGCCAACAGCCATGGCAGCAGCAGTCCCAGGCGGCGCTCCCGCCGCACGCACCCCAGGAGCATCAGGCCCAGGCGCTACAGTTTCCTGCAACAACCGAGGCAAGCGACAGAGGCAGTCGCTGCCCGCAGGCGGCGCCTGGCGCGCAGGCCGCGCCAGCTGCTGCCGGCGTAATCTCTCCAAAACAATCAGACAAGGCCAAACAGGTCCCAGAACAGAGACGACACTGACCGTTGCATCATTGCATAGTAGCCATTGGTTGTGGGCGCGCACATACGCCACAAAATGATCTCCAGAGACATGCGCCACAAAGCCGGAAACGGTGTAGAGGTAGTTGTTGCCCTGAGGAAAGCACAACGCAACAACTTAACATGCAGCGATCATGAGACAGACACAAACAAACTTAAACATTATCAGCACAAAAATGAACCACACCGTTTCGTGGCAGGCGCCTCACCAGCGGGCGGTGTCACCAACAACTGCGACCAATTCATCCGGCCGCCATCGACGGGCGGCACTTCCAAAATGACAACATCACTGCTCGGCCGGCATGTTGCAAAATGCTCACGCGTCAACTCCGTGAGAGTGACGCCGCGCCGAGCGAGTGCAATGGATGTAGGCAGTAAATGTACAATATCACTGCCGTAGACACACCGGTCTAACAGCAAGCGACAGGCTTCTGCTGCATCTGCGCTCTCACCAGGTCGAAATCTTCCTTGGTAGGTTGCATACAGTTGATTGAGCAAAGCAAATGGTGCAACGTAGTCCCAGTCGTCGCTTGCAAGCTTCTGCAAAACATCTTGCACCAACGATCCCAGAATCGATTCTTCGCAATCCATCAACCGAGCAGTGAAAGCATTGTGCAGCGAGCGAGTCCACCTAAAACATTGCAACACGGCATTGAGCCAGCAGCTGTTCCCTAAATTCTTCAAGCCAGCATGCGCCGTGCCGCGCTCCAAGCCACTTGTCCATGCGGGCCGAGAGCCATAATCGAGTCTAGTGTGAAAGCCCAATTCCACCATCCACGCACCTTCGCTGCGGGGTGCTAATGCTTCCACATCCTGAAAAGCAGAGACCAAAAGCTGCACACTCTTCGAGGCCAGCTCAGGGTCGAAATCATCCGCGACATTTTTCGCACGCAGCCTGGCACGCTTCTGCTGCCGCTGCAGTCCCAATGCATCACGCATCTCAGTCAAAATGACTTCGTCAAACCGAG